TTCCCTTCCGGGCCTGGAGCAATGATCTCATTTGGGTTCTCACTGTCTTTTTCCTAAATGACTGGGAGGCCTCTAGTCCTGCTGTCCATGAATCCTTCCACCCTGCAGCCAGAGTCATCTACCTTCTGTGTAAATCTGACTATACTACTAGAGAATGAAAAATATTCCATTGGGTAACCAGCACCCAGTGGAGGGGTCCACACCCCATTGCATTGGGTATACCTGGATGTGGTTCCTCTCCAGCGTCACCTCCCATTTCTCCCCGCCCTGAACCTGACAGTGTCCCCTTTGCTCATGTTGTCCCCTCTGCATTGCATGTCCTTTTCATTCCTCTTATTTGGCTCACCTTGACTCTAATTTCCATATTTAGGCCTTATCTCCTCCAGAAGCCTCTGTGAATCTTCAGGCTGGGCTAAGTGCCCCACCTCTGTGTTTTCAAAGGACCTTATTCATACCTTGATTTTTTATCACTTACCATGTCATATTAAAATTATAGTGACATATGTCTTGCCCATTAGTCTACAGAATCTTCAAGAGCAGGCACCTTATCATCTCTATCATAAACTAGCACAAGCTTGATATATAATAATAGGTCTTGAACTGAACTGAATGGATGCAGCTTAGCCTTAATCTTGAGTCACGAGGACATCGTCTCCTAAATCTAGTCATTAGTAAAGTTTCTGGTACGATCACTGCTTTCATACAATTCTTAGAGCTAGATAAGTCCTCTGATTTCTAGTACTGTGTCTCACAGACTGGTGTATATGTGAATCCTCTCCCCACAAATGATATCTGCAATCACAGGACAAACATGGCTCATAATCCTGGAGTATCAATTTCACCTACACATTCTGGAAAAATGATTTTCATTTTAAAACAGATATAGATATACTTTGGGGTGGCATACATTTTTTTAGTATTAAGAGAGACTGCAGCTTATGTGAGGCTGTTCTCAGCCAAGACTCCAGGTCCCTGGTAGTTTAGGTTCTATTGTTGGTGCAGATGACTGAGAAACACTAATCTACAGATCACTGTTTTGCACTGTAGTTTAGTTACTGTTCTAGAGCCTCCTATAGATAAATAAACAGCCTCAGTGAGACCAAAGCAGGAGTTATCTCAGTAACGGCCAGAAGAGAGAGACTTTCATCGTGGGTCTGAGTTAGGTTTGAAAAGGTATTTTGAAATTAGCACAACACAGTGCTTTGTATAATCTATAAAATACGCCAGATGATAGATCAATGTAGGGGAGAAGGCAGAAAAATGACCATTAGGACAGATCAAAGAGAAGGTCTGGATCAAAGTGGAGGCTGATCAAAGACACTGGAAGGAAGGGAAGAGCACTACAGTCAAAGGATGGAACATGAGGAAAAAATAATCCAAATTGAACTGTGGCTCAAGAGGGACTTGATGCAGGGTGGTTGGTGATAATCTAAGAGATAATTAGACATTTAGTAAGGTGGTTTGGGGAGTTTTCAATCCTGGAAATTCTACTTAGAGTCCTAGCAGTTAGAGATCTTCCAACTTTGTTTCCTCATAGCTATTCCAAACCATCAGACTTGAGAATGAGGTAGCATCATCCAAGTGATAGTGACATAAAAAGATGTAAGAGAAACAGAGGAAATAGCAAGGGGACAGGTAGGAAAGTCTAGTTTAAAACAGATAATAAGGTCAATTTAAGTCCACTAACATTTGTCAAGTGCCTACTATGCATAAGGCACTGCTCTGGGTGATAGAGAAGCAGAGGTAACAAGCCTGGGCCTGTGCTGTCAGGGAATCTGCAGTCTTTTTTAAAGGCGCCTAAGAAGGAAAAAATCCAAGGTCAAATGCGCAGGCTTTCCAAGTGAGAAGTCTTAGGAAGCTAAAGCAGGAACTATTCCTATCATACATATTATCTGTTCCCTTCACGTGCTCTAAATCTTTCCCAGAAAAAAGTTTTGATGAACACTGTCAGGCTGCACAAGGGAAAACTTGCATGGATTTAGAGGATGACCTTCAAGGGCAGAAAATTGGTCCCAAATTCTATAACCAAAACATACTATAGAGGTACTAGAAACATGTTTACCAATGTAGCCACCCTACAATGAAGCCTGCCAACCTACAAGCCACACTCACAGATGACGCACACCATTCCTAAACCTGTACACGTGAATGAAGCTTCCAACATGAAAGGCAAGCCAAAAGCAACTTTGAAAACCACTTTGAAAATAGACACAGACATTGTAGGTAGCTGAAGAAAACTTTTTTGTTTTTTTGAGATGGAGTCTCACTCTGTCACCTAGGCTGGAGTGCAATGGTGAGATCTTGGCTCACTGCAACCTCCACCTCCTAGGTTCAAGAGATTCTCCTGTCTCAGCCTCCTGAGTGACTGGGATTACAGGTGCGTGCCACCATGCCCAACTAATTTTTTTATTTTTAATAGAGATGGGGTTTCACTATGTTGGCCAGGCTGGTCTCAAACTCTTGACCTCAGGCAATCTGCCTGCCTCGACCTCCCAAAGTGCTGAAATTACAGGTCTGAGCCACTGTGCCCAGCTGAAAACTTTTAAAATGTAGAAAAAGTACTGAGTTGATATTCTCAGTGAAATAAGATACTTCACTCATGAAATGAGAACAGGATACTGTAAAAACCATTTAGAGGACCGATAAAAGCTCCTGAGAATTAAAAATATAATGGTAGGAATGTAAACATTTAATAGCAGTGTTGGACGATTTATTAGAACTAAATATCATGGGACTTTTTAAAATAAAAAAGATAAAATTACAGAACAGATCCAAGAGATTCCATTTTCAGATTCAGTCTAAGTAATTTAAGTTTCAGAAAGAAAGAACGAGAAAATTACATAACAGAAGAAAATCACTCAATTGAAGAATGTAATTTTTGGATTGAAAAGGTCTATAAAATACCTAGGACAGTGATTGACAGTCCCCTGTATCCCCCGCCAAAAAGCCCCTCCCAACATTAAATAACAGCATCATGAAATATCAGAATATGAGCAATAAAGAAAAGAAAACCCTACAAACACCTAGAGATTAAAACAAAATACAAGGGATCAGGAATTAGAATGGTATCAGCTTCTCATCAGCACTGTAAGAAAGTAGAAGAAAATAGAGCAATGTTTTCAAAATTCAGACAGGAAATGATTTCTGATTAATATCCCATACCTAGCCAAACGGCAATCAAGTGTGAAGGAAGAAAGGTGACATCTTAAATGGGTACAAGCCCAAAAAGCAACCGTGTCTTATGGGGCCTGAATCTTACACACTTTTGGGAGTCTTCTTTAAGAAAAAGGCATAAAATTACAAAAAATGTACATAATTGGGTATGAAAGTGTATATGTATTCCACAAGAGATGGCCTGGATAGAAAAAAAGAAAGTGGGTATGTATTTAGAATGAGAAAAATCACAACAGACAGGCGCCGTGAATGTTCTAGACTCTTTGTTTCCGGATGTGCTTAGAAAATTTAGCCCAAATGCTTCTTGATGGCAGCCTGGCTTTTCCTCCCCACTCAACAGCTCACAATGCAATTAGCAGCACTCAGAGGGGCTCCATGAGGTTCCTCGGCTTCAGGAAATGACTCCTTGCTGATGAGTTCTCAAACAACTAAATAAACTAAAGAAAATGTAGCAATTCCTAACTCCAGGAGGTGGGTGGAAAGACTGGTCAAGAAGGGAAATGTAAAGATCATGGTATATCACCTGCCTTAGTTGGAAATAATATATACAAGGTCATAATAATGTAAACACCAAACATTGACTTATCAAAAATTTAGGATATAACCATATTGGAAACTTACAAGAAAGGGATGTGAAGATAAGATAGAGGGTTGGGGTGTAAAGGAGCTAAACCCTCATCCTTCTAGGTAGGATGTCAGTAGATGTCATCCAGAATTGAAAAAGAGAAGAAGAAATGGCCAGTATCTGCATGCTATTTAGGATATGGTAGTATCAGAAAAACACAACCGAAAGCATTGAAAGTAATTGCAGCTAGGGTTATATACTCGGTACAAACGCAGTAAAATCTTCTACAACGAACGACTTCTAAGACTATACATTGATTTGTGTTAACCAAAGTAGAAAATTAAAAATAAAGTAATACCCTCAAGGAGAGTGAGGCAAAAAGCTAATGGAAATAAAATAAAGGCACAGATTCTCAAGGGACAGACCACATGCCAGAAGGAGCAAGAATCTGAACATTGTACTTAGAGAATTTAGTAATTCTCCAATGAAGTAGAGTTACGGACGCAACTTGAGGTACTTGCTTTATTTTTCCTGAATCCAGTTCTCTTCTTTGAAAAACCGTAAGATTGGACTTGACAATCTTTAGGGTTATACCCAGCTTTAAGATAGCTTTGTAATTACGTAGAACAAAGATGGGCATGAAATATACCAAACGAGAGAGTTTCTAAATTTAGATTCTAACAGTTTAAGTCAGAAAATAAGTGTTCAGGAAAAACAAATCACAATCTTCCATCACAAAATTCAGCTGTGATATTCTGGAAGGAATGCTGGTTTGAATTCTTTCTGGCTCTGCCATTTAATTACTGGGTAACCCCGGGTCACATACACAATATCTCTGTTTCTATCTCCTCATTTTAAAAATACGATTCTAATCTTAACTCAGCGTGCTGGTTACAAACATCGCCTTGTGCTCTGTAAAGCCCCATTATGATTTCAACAACCAGCAAGGTAATGGCTTATGATATCTAAGTTCTGGTAAGGAGAACAACGCGGCTGTGTGCCTTGCTGTCTTCAGCTGAACTCTGCATCACATACAGCAGGCTGATAGACCTTTTGACTTTCCTTTTTCCTCCAGTAGTGTAGCTAGTGGCCATTTAACTTTTACACAAGAGAACAGAAAAGAAAGACAGAGTTAGCTAAAATTCAGTCTCTTTGTGTTTGTTTCTAGCTTCAGTGAAGGTTTCAGGGAGAGGGCTGGCTGGTTAAAAAGGTAGAAGCTTAAGAGTTCAAAGAAAGTGTGAGGAGGACAACCAGCACTCACCTGAGGCCTCTAATTGTTCATATTCAGTTATGGTCTCATTTTGGTCTCATATAGTTTAGTGTTTGTCTTATGACCTGTCTATGGAAACAAATATGGAATGTGTCTGCAAGATCCCATTATCTGATGACACTCTAGTGACTTCACTTCTCTTACAATAAAAGTTTAGCAATAGCAAGGACTTTGGCTAGGGGAGTGACTCTATGTGTGGTGAAACTGTCCTCACCCATTTTACGTTTGAGGCAAAGAGATAATCTTTTGATTACACCCAACACAGGTAACATCTGTACTTTGAACAGTTAAGTATGGCAGCCAATGTCTAACTGAACATAGGGGGAGATAAGAAACAGACATAACCGGTGCCAAATGTGAGTTTTAATAGCTTCGCTTACGCCATCAAACCATCGACCAGAAGGGTAAGTGAGGAACTCACAGAATAAATGGGAACAGGTGTGGCCTGAGGATAAGTAAGTGGGGATACTGTTTCCATCGTCATGAAGATTCCAGAGGAAATCAAAGCTCTTTAAAAAGAAGGAAATGGAGTGCTTGCTCCTGTAATATCAGAACAAATAATGCACAGCCAGAGGTCATGCCTCACCTTCTGCTTATCTCAAGCACTTCTGCTTGTAAAATCAGTGGGCCATATTCAATAATACGTTCATATCAGCTTCATATCTTTTTCCAGAAACCCCAGGAACAGAGGGTGCCAATATCCTTATTCAACCAAGAAGCTCGCAGTCACGAAAAGCTAAGTCTGAAGCCACTGGGCCCCTACCTCACCATGTGTCCAGAGTCTTTCCATAGTTCCCCACTACGCAATACCCGGGTTATACTGAAGATATTGCATGTCTGGTTAAAAACAGTACACGTTTCTCATGAACAATAAGCCATCCTTCCCATTAAAATGAGTGTAAAATTGCAGGAAAAATGCTGTAGGCAGGCCTGTTTGGAAAGCTATTCGACCCTATGAGACAAAAAGGAAAAGGCAGACACCGCAGAATACGGTCGAAGAAAACGTGAAAGGGTGGCCATTTCTGCAACTTTTAGGAGAGCTACCTGTCCTCAAATTTTGAAAGGGTTTCTATTTCTTAAAATGCTAGGTTTCCCTGGCTGAAACTCACATCTTTCTTCCATCTAGGGCTGGATCAAAGCTTCAGAGGTTGTTACTCTGGTCCTAGACAGGGTCACCCTCCGCAAATTTCTCCCCCACGGCGCCTGACATCCGCTTCCATCCATGAGTCTATTATCGGAACCTAAGCTCTGGCTCAGGGGACTTTATCCACCGCTCAGTGTTATTAGATTCCAGGCTTCCTGGCCTAAGGAAAGGATCTGGCTCGTGTTTTCGTGGATCGCAGCTAACCGGGAGAGGCAGTCGGGGTACCAGTGCCCAGAGCTATGTGAGCTGTGACTGGACACAGCCCAGGGGCCAGATGGAGCCATCGCCGCGGGCGCGCGTCCCCGGACCCACGGGCCAGACGGAGGCCCGGGGCTTCACACCTTCCCTTCACCCGGTGGCATACCTGACTCGCTGGGAACTGAGCAATATTCATTCCAGGGCCGCTGCCAGCCAGACAGAGGCGCTCGCGGGCAGTGGGAGTAGTGGGCGCATCCGTTCCGCAGCCCGGAGGGGGCCCCAGGTGGGCTTCCGAGACACCAGGGCCCTCCTCCCCCGACCCGCCCTCCTCTAGAGAAGCCTCCATCCCTGTCCAAGAGCCCCTCCCTGTGCGTATCTCCTTCCTGTCCGCGACCCCTCCGCCGCAAGTTACCTGCGAGCCGGAGCCCCCTCTCCATCACAGCCCAGCTCCTCGGCGGGCCCCCCATCCCTTCGAGCCCTCCTCCAAGTTCCAGCCCCCTACGGGTACCGACGTCTGACCTGTGCCCAGCGCCTCGCAGCCGTCTGCAGCCCGCCCTGCGTGCCAAGTGCGACCGCCCAGGAGCAGGTGCAGCTCCAGGCCCGCCCCGCCCCGCTGCGCCCCGCCCCGCCCCGCTCCTTTCCGCCCGGCCAGGCAGCAGCCAGTCCCTTTCCAACCTTGACCGCCTTTCCCGGTCCAGGCCAGCGTGCCGGGCCTCTGTCGTCCGGCCCGCACTTCCTCCACGCCCTTGATCTTCCCTTGGAGATGTCTCTGGTCCCGGGAACTCCCTAAAGCTGTGTGCTTCAGGAGAGGCTGGTTCCTGGGTTACCAGGAGGATTGCAACCAACCGTGACCTCCTGGGATGCAAAGCGATGGCAGGGCCTGGGAAGCGGCGAGGACCCCGAGCAGAGGCTGTGGCTCTGGAAGAGTGTTTGTTACCAAGCCAGGCAACCAGTGAGAACACACAGGAGAAACAGCCACGGATCCGGGAGAAACGGATCACCCACCAGCAAAGGAAGAAGGCTCCAACGTACATCAGAGACCACAATCCAGGTTTTCTAGTTTAAGTTTGGTGGCTAAGTTTGAGTGTCACATAGTTCATTCATTCATTCAACAAATCTGCCGTGTGCTCATCTGATGACAGATCTGACAGGTAGGCATAGTTATTTATAGGTGCTGGCGATAGAGCTGAGAAGGAGACAAAGTCCCTGTCCTGGAGAAGGGGGCTTCCTTCTGAAGAGCGCGTGACTTTCTTTGTGATATTGTGCTGTCACAGCAGCGTCCTCTTCTGTAAGCTACAGAAGAGGCCCCGTGGAATGGTTCTGCACTCTGTTGCCCATCAACCCTGTGAACAATATGAAATGAACACAAGCTCTAAGGCGCCATCTCAGACCTACTGTTAAGAATCCAGGGGAGGAGTGCTGGCTGATGCCCTATTAAAAGCTTCTCAGGAGGCCTGGGGAAGTCAGGATTGAGAACCATGGGTCTAGATCTCTAAGATGCCTGGCAGCTTATTCCCCACTGTTGAGGGCACTGGCAATCAGGAAAGGATTCGTGGAAGTGATGTTTGTATTTGGGCTTTAAAGCAGGGCCATAGATACACATTAGCAGTGCAGAAGGACGCAGGATCCAATGGGCAGCCTCTTGACCAAATAGCTCTTCCTTTCTATAACGTCAGAGAAAATCACTTTGAAGGATAAGACGTTAACTGGAGTAGGTCTTTCCCTGGTAAAATAGAGTGAATGAGATCTGGTGGGAGGTGGTAATGGCCAAGAGGCAGTGCCATGAGTTAAAAGGATAATGGAGTCTTGCACCCTATTAGAGGGAGGATGTACCACAGCCAGGAGCTGGGAGGGTATCTTTTAAATTTGTCTTCGGCTCGGGAACTTTAACACACGTCTTATCCTAGCACTTGCTCACACCCATTGCTTTTGAAATTGTTGGTAGAGTGACGTCCTGGATATCTGTTACCCTGGGAGAGGCTGTCGTCTGTCACCAGATCTTTTTTATGGACAGATGTTTTCTCTAGTAATATTTACTTTGCCTACAATGATGAAACAAAGGTGTGATCTCTTACCTGTATAGTTATTGGTTGGTAGGTAGAGATGCTTCATAATATTAAAAAATCTAAACAAAGAAAAGTATTTCTGCCTCAAAGTATAATAACCAGGTGCCAGGACAAAACCGATTTTCTGTGTGTGTGTGTGTGTGTGTGTGTGTGTATTTGAGACAGGGTCTCACTTTGTTGCCCAGGATAGAGTCCAGTGGTGCAATCATGGCTCACTGCACCCTTGACCTTCTAGGCTCAAGAGATACTCCTGCCACAGCTTCCTAAGTAGCTGGGACTAGAGGTGTGCACCAACACCTTGGCTAATGTTTAAAAATTTTTTTAAAATTTCAATAGTTTTCGGGGAAGAGGTAATTTTTTGTTACATGGATAAGTTCTTTAGTGGTGATTTCTGAGATTTTTATATATTCATCACCTGAGCAGTGTACCCTGTACCTAGCATATACTTTTTTATCCCTCCCCCTCCTCCCTCTTTCCACTGAGTCTCCAAAGTCCATTGTATCATTCTTATGCCTTTGCATCCTCATAGCTTAGCTCCTCCTTATAAGTGAGAACATTGATGTTTGGTTTCCCATTCCTGATTTACTTCACTTGGAATAATGGTCTCCAACTCCATACAGATTGCTGCAAATGCCACTACTTCATTCCTTTCCATGACTGAGTAGAATTCTATGGTGTAAATATACCACATTTTATTTATTTTTTTCTTTATTCACTTGTTGGTCGAGGGGCATTTAGACCGGTTCCATGTTTTTGCAATTGTGAATTCTACCGCTATAAACACGAATATGCAAGTGGCTTTTTCATAAAATGACTTCTTTTCCTCTGGGTAGATACTCAGTAGTGGGACTGCTGGATCAAATGGTAGTTTTACCTTTAGTTCTGTAAGGAATTTCCATACTGTTTTCCATCATGGTTGTATTAGTTTATATTCCCACCAGCAGTGCCAAAGTGTTTCCCTTTTCACCTCATCCACATCAACATCTACTATTTTTTTAATTTTGAAAAGTATGGCCAGTCTTGCAGAAGTAAGGTGGTATCTCATCGTGGTTTTTAAATTTGGATTTCCCTGATAATTAGTGATGTTGAGCATTTTTTCATGTGTGTGTTGGTCATTTGTATATCTTCCTTAGAAAACTGTCTATTCATGTTCTTTGCCCACTTTTTGATGGGATTCTTTTTTTTTCCTTGCTGATTTGTTTGAGTTCCTTGTAGATTCTAGATATTAGTCCTTTGTCAGATGCCTAGTTTGTGAATATTTTCTCCCATTCTGTGGGGGTGTCTGATTACTCTGCTCATTATTTCTTTCACTGTGCAGAAGTGTTTTAATTTAATTAAGTCATATATATTTATTTTTGTTTTTGTTGCATTTGCTTTTGGGTTCTTGGTCTTGAACTCTTTGCCTAAGCCAATGTCTAGAAGAGTTTTTCCAATGTTATCTTCTAAAGTTTTTATGGTTTCAGGTCTTACATTTAAGTCTTCCATCCATCTTGAGTTGATGTTTGTATAAGGTGAGAGATGAGGATCCAGTTTCATTCTTCTACATGTGGCTTGCCAATTATCCCAGCACCATTTGTTGAATAGGGTGTCCTTTCCCCACTGTATTTTTTGCTTTCTTCGTAGAAGGGCATTTGGCTGTAAGTGTTCGGCTTTATTTCTGGGTTCTCTGTTCTGTTCCATTGGCCTATGTGCCTATTTTTATATTGGTACGGTACTGTTTTGGAACAGTATAAACCTTGTAGGATGATTTGAAGTCAGTTAATGTGATTCCTCCAGATGTTTTTTTCTTAGTCTTGCTTTGGCTATGTGGGGTCTTTTTTGGTTTCATATGAATTTTAGAATTTTTTTTTCTAGTTATGTGAAGAATGATGATGGTACTTTGATATGAATTGCATTGAATCTGTAGACTGTTTTTGGCAGTATGGTCAATTTCACAATATTGATTCTATCCATCCATGAGCATGGGATGTGTTTGCATTTGTTTGTGTCATCAGTGATTTCTTTCAGCAGTGTTTTGTAGTTTTCCTTGCAGAGGCTTTTATCTGCTTGGTTAAGTATATTCCTAAGTATTTTTTCCTTCAGCGGTTGTAAAAGGGATTGAGTTCTTTCTTTGTTTCTCAGCTTGGTCATTGTTGATATATAGTAGTGTTACTGATTTGTGAACATTGATTTTGTATCCTGAAACCTTACTGATTTTTTTAAATCAATCTTGGAGCTTTTTGGGTCAATCTTTAGGGTTTTCTAGGTATACAATCTTATCATCAGTGAACAGCAACAGTTTGACTTCCTCTTTACTGATTTGGATGTCCTTTATTTCTTTCTTATGTCTGATTGCTCTGGCTAGGACTTCTATTCAAACTATGTTGACTAGAAGTGGTGAAAGTGGATATCCCTGTCTGGTTCGAGTTCTCAGGGTGAATGCTTTCAACTTTTCCCTGTTCAGTATAATGTTGGCTGTGGGTTTGTCATTTTATTACATTGAGGTATGTCCCTTCCATGCCAATTTTGCTGAGGGTTTTAATCATAAAGCGATGCTGGATTTTGTCAAATGCTTTTTCTGCATTGATTGAGATAATCATATGATTTTTGTTTTTAATTCTGTTTACTGGATATGTCACATTTATTGACTTGTATATCCCAGCATCCCAATGGAACCCACTTGGCCATTGCTGTATTATCTTTCAAAGAAGTTTTTTTCATAAGTTATTGGGGTACTGGTGGTATTTGGTTACATGAGTAAGTTATTTGGTGGTGATTGGCGAGATTTTGGGGCACCCATTACCTGAGCAGTATACACTGCACCATATGTATAGTCTTTTATCTCTTTCCCCCTCCTAGTCTTCCCCTCAAGCTCCCAAAGTCCATTGTATCATTCTTATGCCTTTATGTCCTCATAGCTTAGCTCCCACATATCAGTGAGAACATACAATGTTTGTTTTTCCATTCTTGAGTTATTTCACTTAGAATAATAATCTCCAGTCCCATTCAGGTCACTGCAAATGCTGTCATTCCTTTTTATGGCTGTGCAGTATTCCATTGTGTGTGTGTGTGTATATTCCACAGTTTCTTTAACCACTCATTGA